ATTCTGCACTGGAGCGCGGCTAACGGCCCCTTTGCCATACCCATTTAGGGCGGCACTCGGCGGCGCGGATCACTTCCGCTCGGGTTTACCATTCCGATGTGCGCTGATACCGACCGCTGCGACGAGTCTCAACAACAGGGGTAATCCGCCGGGAGCACGCGCGGCATGTGGTCCGAAATACACGCGCAAGCTCTGCAATAAATCAAACTGCTCACAACAAGATTTCAGTTCTTTTAGTGATCGTCCGAAAAAGTTTATGCGCGTTCTTTCTCAGATTCGTGGTGGTTCGGCGCCTGTGAGACTCGGGGTAGGCCAACCCGCAGTACACGCATGCATTGCAGGAAAGATGTTGCCTACATACTAGGCGCTAGGAGAGCTCGCGTTTGCTGAAACGTGACGGGGTCGTAACGGCGAACATCTTGCAAGACAGTTTGGTTTGCAGAGCACACGCACGCACACGTACCCCCCTGGGGTGCACTTCTCTCACATTCACGCACCAACTTGCCAACTTACATTCACAGATACAACGATTGTTATGGCGCAGCCGTGGCGGTATGGTGGAGAAAAAAAAAGAAAAGAAATCTGTTCAAAGTTGGTCAAGACGCCCGGTCGTCTGAGAACACTTGTCTGACCCTTCTCACCCCGGGCGGGAGGGAAGAGGGAGGAGCGCGGAGGAGGGGGAGCAGACGTCTGCTACCGATCTGACCACCCCCTCCCTCGCTCCTCCCGTTCGTCGGTCTCCCCCTTCCTCCGCCTCCTCGACTCGCAACTATCTCGGCATTCCCGCCCCAACTGCTTGTAAACTAGCAGAGAAACACTCGCAGCGCCAAGGCAGAGTCCTTATGGCCCCCACGCCTTTACGCCCTCTTCTCCTGATATTCCATTAGGGCTGGCTGCACTTCATCGCCTCCTCCCCTGCTGGAAGAGGACAACTGCGTTTGGCACACGGGAAAAAAAGATTCGTCAATAATCTGTTAAAAAAAGCTCATATAGCAATTCATTAGGTTATCTGTCCAAATAGAAGCAAATGTATTAGCTGACAGCGAAACTTTTTTTTCTGTGGCACTATAAGCGTTAAATCAGGGTTAAACAAAGACAACGTCGTTGGGTAAGAAAAACATGGCAAGCGAGGACGTTGTCTAAATAAGCAGCTACTACGACGGCGCGCCCCCAAAAGCGGCTCCGTCGATCCCTGAGAACACGTCATGGAAAACAGTCGGAGCCGGGGAGGAAGCACTGAGCGGAGCCTGCGAGGCAAACAAGCTTCAGCTGAGCTACTGCAATCTCACAAATAAGATAGTGGGAGGGGGTGGCAAAGTTAGGCGGGCGCGGAGAACAAGATACTCTGCGGGGGAGGGGTGGGTCGGATCCTTTGGTATCTTCGGCACCACCTAGCCTCGCGCCGACCCCGAGGCGGCGCGGCACATGTTGTTGTCCGCTGTTCCAGCAGTCGCGTGTTATTTATTTAGTGCCGCACGCCTGCAGGCCCTTTTCCTCCCTTCTCTCTCTCTCTCTCTCTCTCTCTCTCTCTCTCTCTCTCTCTCTCTCTCT